ACACACACACCTCAGAGAATGGACAAATCCCAAGACCACATCTGACTGTGGAGATAGGAGATTTGCTTTCCTGCCATGAGGCCAGAAGGAGAAAAGGAGAAAGTGGATGAACATCACTAATGACTACCACAGCTGGAACTTCAGAAAAGCAGAGGTGAAAGCAATCAGCGTGGGCTACAGACATTGTGGGGCAAGGGATGGCATTAGAGACCTATAATTATGTGGACGTTTGATGTCTTGTTTATTATGGTGGCTAAGAGGAATGTGAGGTTTAATATATTATTTCTTAAACAGTGTTGAGATAGTTGGCCAATTTATGCTGCCACAAGTTTGCAGAAATGCACTGTAGATCTCTTACAGTTGTGTAGTATGAAATGCAGTATTATCATCCTCTGCTTTCACTGAAGTTCAATTCAAAGCTTTCTGTATTACTACTTTCTAGAGTGGTGCTGGGGATTGAACCCAGGGCCTTATGCATGTAAGTATGCGCTCTGCTACTGAGCTACACCCTCAGGCCTTTTCTAAGTAACCTCAAACTCTTTTTTTCAATGATGGCAGCTGATGATATATCCAATACTATTTCCAGGACTGGGGATTTAGCTCAGTGGTTCTGTTGCCTGGCTCCCAAACACAAGGTCTGGAGTTCAATCCCCATTTCTAAAAGAAAAACAAACAAACAAACAAAACAAAACAAAACAAAAACACACACACACACACACACACACAAAGCCAAACCTCAATAGCTGCCAGCATTAGTCTGAAGAAATTTCTTTGTTTTAATCGATGTATAAACTTTCACATGTGGGATATGATTCTCCTTATCACTACTTCTGTTTAATTAAGATATCTGATCTTAAAGTATTGCATAGAGAATTAACTAGATAACTCAAAACACTTGTTATTACTGAAAAAATTCTGGGGAAGATCTAATCTTGTATCTTTGTTCTCCAGATAGAATGACTCCCTCTCTTTCGAAAGAACATGTATGAGACGTTTCTCAGTTTGAGTTCTCCCAGAAATGAACTCTGAGAGTAGGATTTGAAGTCTCGTTATCTATCTGGGGTGTGATTCCAGAAACACCAATGGGAAAGAGAATAAGGAAGTGATCGGGAATAGAGGAAGGAAAGGAGGAAGGAAGGAAGGAAAGACAAAGAGGAAGGAAGGGGAAGATAGGAAGGAAGGAGAGACAGAAGGAGGGAGGGAGGGAGGAAAGAACCAAGCACAGCATTCCGTAGGGAGAGGTACTGTTCTGAGTGACTAAGATTCAAAGTTGGGGACCTCACAGGCACTGTAGAATAGTTTTCCTGTAGTCCTACCTCCCAGTGGGGATGCTGAGTATTTTTATACCATCCGTCCTTGAGTGGCCAATGGCTGCTATGTGGGCATTTCATTCACTGCCTTCTTATCCGGCACCAGCCAAGTGGGTCCTAAAGACACAGGAAGCCGGTGAAGGGAGACCCGGTAAAGGAGGGACACGAGGGAAGATGCCACCCAAGGGCTAGCGCGCCAACACTGTCAGTACCGAGGGAACACCTGGCTGCTCACCGTGTCTGACATAGCTAGCTTTCAGCCTGGACCACTCAGCTTTTAAAAAATGTATTGAAAGTACGACCTCTGAGAAAATACGTCATCCTTTTCAAACGTCGCATAGGAACAGATCATGCACACCTCAGCCTGGGCATGGCTCTGTTACAAGATGGGGATGCTTTGACCCACTACAGGCCAAGAGTGTTGGAAGAACTCACTTTGTTGAAGAGCAGGTTGGGAAAGAGGTACTTCCCACCACTGGGGCGGAAGTGCTGGGCAGAGAGGCAGTGGGCCGAATCCTCCAAGCCGTGCTGACTTTTATTCTTTATTCTTTGAAAAAAAGAGAAACTTGGCAGTGAATATTTTCGAAGAACTGCCAGTGTTTTTAACACATTCAGCTCGTACAGTGTAACAGCACATGGAGAGCTGGATATTATTTAGAAATTCCAAACTCTGTCTTGGTTGATTTACCCTCTACACTTGAGTATTTTCAAGAGGCTAGAGGCGGCAGAAGGCAGTTGTCTTGGAGTACGGCCTTCTCATTATTTTCCCAGCAGATCCCTGAGGATAGGGGAAGGGAAGAGCGTCTGTGAGAGGGTAGACTTTTCCTAAAAAAGAGAATTCTGGAAGTCATCATAATTAAACAAAGAGGAAAAAGTGCCAGACAGGAGTGGGTGGGGTCTGTTTTTCCTTTGTGGTTGTTTGGGATGCGTTCAAGATTCCTACCCTAAGTCGAGGCCAGCGACTGCCCCAAAGGCGCAAGGCTCGGCTAGGAGGCCGCGCAGGTGTTGGGGTCCCCGCAGGTGTCGAGGTCCCGCCGGTGAGGAGGTGCTCTCGGCAGCTGGCCCGCCCGTCCTCATTGCGGCCTGGGGC